AAATGAATAATAATATCATACAATGCCATCTAGTCCCAAGTAATTATTTTTTGGAAATACATACATAATATTGAAACCACTTAGACCTATAATTGTACAATCTAACTCATGAATACAAAAATGTACAGCGAGAGGTAACGAAACCGCAACCATCGGAAATAAAACTATGTGCTAAACCGCTAGACCACCGAGGCCGTCAAAATAGTATACATATAACTTTTTTCAAGCATTGCGTTGATTGGGTCAAAGATTTTTAAGTATATCTGTTACAAATAAAAATATTATTTTCCTTTGTATGCGTACTATTAGTTTAGACGTAGCCTGACGTCATAAAGAGTATCATAAGAGTCGTAACCAAAACAATGGCGGGCGACAAAAATACAGTACGTTTATGTAGATTTATGTCACAGTCTATTTTGGGATTGGACCGCTGAGGCGTGAACTTGCTTGTGCTTGCTATTGGGTGGAGGGCACGGACGCTACCGACGCAAGCGCACCGATTGAGTTGGAATAAATAGCAGGAGGCAAATCAGGTTCGTGGAACTCTAACACTATACATGGTTCGCAGTATATTAAATTTGTCACGCGAAATTTGGCAAGTGTCAAGAATGAGTCAATTGTACTGTGATATGTACTGTTCTAACTTGTTTACAAGACTGACGCCATCGATCAATTAATACGTCCAATTATAATATATATTTTTTATTCAAATTGACCATTAAAATTCTAGAGATTTTAATCTCTGCTTGTTTTTAAAACAACGAAATAAATTACAATTTGTATAAACAAAGAAAATCAAGACAACCATCCAGTACATAGGTTTAATAATAATAGTATGTTTAAGCCTACGGACACAAAGGTTTTCATTTCCACAAACATTTTTCATACCTATGTAGACTCATAACACAAAGGCAGATTGGAGATACAGTTTCTAATAAATTTACTTAAAATAACCAATTTAGAAAATTCAAATAATGCTAATTATTTGAGCTGTTTCATTTTAAAACAATTAGACCCATACAATAATTACACGAACCGGGACGGAAAACTAGTTCTTTATCTTTCTCAGAAGTTTTCAAACAACCTACTGAGTGGAAATGATCTCAAGTTAGATTTAAAAACTAAAAATAAAGATTCTTCCGAACATAATCCAGTAAAGGAACTATGTCAGAGACTAGTCCGTTGTCCATCTCACCTGTTGATTCCCAAACGGATCGACCTTTGACGAGTTTGATTTGGATTTTCTTTTCACATACGAGCGTGGTCGTATTAAAGGCGACCCTATTACGGTCTCGTACCGTCAATGTTGTACAAAGTATGCTATCGGTCGCATTTGAATAAAACCCCGGACGTTGGTCAAAGGTTTTTTACAGACGTTTCGTTACAATAAATCACGTCAATTTAGGTACACGATAGAAATAGAAAATTGAATCTTAAAATGTACGGGCATAGAAATTATATTGGAATAACAGTATAGTTTTTATATATCTACGAATAATCAGTATTAGATTATTGATTAGTATACTAGATAGCATTAATAATGTACTGATAGTACTTGAATCCTATAATGAAATCAATATAAAGTATTACTGATGAGGTATACGTTTACACAAAATGAAGTTACAATAGTGTCTACAGTCCTCAGTACCCACAAAAAAGTCTACGGAACTATGTTTAACAATTGTAGTTAAATCACAATAACCGTGACCAAAAGACTTAATATCAACGATGATTACATTCATCTTTATTCAACTAAACGTTTCTAGATAATTCCAGCCCTGACCTATCATATTTCATTTAATCCAATACCTCAACTACGCAATTCTTAAGAAGCGAGATGTAGTATTTTTCTGAATGGAGCGTAGGAACAGTTCGTTGAACTGAGGCGGTGTTGTTGAGATAAAATATACATAGCGTGAGTACTCGATAAGATGGTGTTTACTGAGGAAAAAGAGAGCGTTGTGGTTTAGTGGTTTACTATCCCGTCGTAACCCATTGTTAGTTTCGGCCAGAGACATGGGTTCAAATTCGGTCGACGTAAAACAATGTGTCAATTTTTATTTCTTTTACATTAACTTCTGTTACGTTAAAAGGATTTGTTATTAGTGCATCTGTCATCTAGAAAGTCTGTTAAAAAAAAAAATAATATAACTAGCTAAATGAAGAGATGAAAGTATGTTGTACTAGTTATGATAAAAATCTGAATTACGTTTCAGTATTTATAATATTATCTTTATGATCTTTAATAACCTATTTATTGATTAAATTTATTTATTTTGGTAAACTTAAAATGCCTATCGCATCGACACATTAACAATTTGAAATATTTGTCATTTCAAAAATGAAGAGATTATAATCTTATTATTATTATTTACTAAGTATTGAGTATAAATGTGTGGGTGATATAATAAAGAATTATTTCAGCATACTGCATCATTATATAGGATTTGTAAAATAAAAAACTAACCTCAAAATAAATTTACTAATAAATATTGTTTTATGTTAATTAAAACATATACTTAAGTGGAAAACCACAGACCGTTTTAATATTTTTTGGTACCATTTTTTTTATTCTTTATTCTATAGACTTGTTTTATATTGTTATTATTAATTTTGATTGTTTGGTATAATTTTTATAATTTGATATGTCGAAATAAATAAACTAACTGTCAAAGAAGTGACGCGTAGGCAACAGTAAGAAAATAATTTGATTAATAATCAAGTCGAATGATAAAACGGGTACATCGATCCTATGATCTCCCTATAGACATATATTTACGTACAATGATTACGAGTACAAAACTGGTAGTATGATTTTACACATCATCATCATCTGCTTCTTCCTTATCCCGTTTATTATATAGTAAAGTTTTGTATATACAGAACGAGAAGTCATTTTAGTAATTATTAATTATATTTGTTTCTGTTTATTAATCCTAAGATTTGACTGTTCTTGTCTACTTACTTTGACATGATTGGTTTATTCATAATTTTTAAATCTAACTGTATTAATAATTAATAATAAAACTTTTGATAAAATAAATAAATTAGGTAATGTACCATTAATTCTCCATCTGTAATACTACACATGTTATTTTATTCAATTTATTAGCCAAACACTACGATTGGACAATTATAAACGAAGAAGAAGAAGAAGAAATATGCTGTACATCTTATTATTATTATTTACTGTATGGTAAAATGTGAATATATCGATGAAATATAGAAAAATAAATTTAAATAAAGACCGTTTATACCATTCCACGAAGCAGGCTAGACTGTCGGGCGCGTAGCGTGGTAACATTATGATCTCCCTATAGTATATTTACTTTAATCAGAGTATGATTTTACACATCATCATCATCTGCTTCTTCCTTATCCCGTTTATTATATAGTAAAGTTTTGTATATACAGAACGAGAAGTCATTTTAGTAATTATTAATTTAATGAACGTAATAGATTCTGTAATACTACACATGCCAAACACTACGATTGGACAGTTACCAAACGATACGATTGGAAGTTACCAAAAACAGATCGTACAATCGATACTTAAATCTTCTACATTAATTACTCGAACAATTTCCCTCAATTCACTTCCTCGCAATATTCATTGTTCCCGACGTGACTTAGCAAGACCTTTAATCTCCGGGTTAATTGTCGTCGAAGATGCTGCACCGCGCCGGTTTGGTTAACGAGCTGTTAAGTTGAGCTATTATGTTGTCGCTACTTCTTGCTCGCCGTGACAAATTGCTGTCAGCATTGTCCCGACCTATGTACTTAAGTTTCTGCCTATGTAGTAGGGACGAATAAGTACATTTTTTGTCTTGTAGAAACATTCGTACTATTATTATAAAAACGAAAATGCCTCTGTCTGTCTGTTACAATTTCACGGTTTTATACAGAAAGAAATCTTAATAAATTTTTATATTAGGATACATTAATATGAATTCAACAGGATAGTTTATTTTAAAAAAATGGCAGTTTAAGTCACGGGGTAGCACATAGTAGAATATAACATTATTTAAACGGGAAATTTATTGTTACTTAAGCAAGCATAAGAGTTTACATTAAATATTTATTTTACATCTCGTCAATATTGATTTTCTACCCAAATCATTATATAATTATTGTTACCGAGAATCAATAGAGTCTGATTACTTTCATCAAATGTTTGGAAAGTATTCTAAGCGCATATACCTGATATTCTGTGTTTATATTTATTTACTAGCCGTTACCCGTAACTTCGTACGCGTGGAATTCCCCATTTTTTTACTATTAAAAAACAAGACATCTTCCTCGGGCTTTTTTTTTCAACTACTGCTTGCTTTTGGCCGCAGCTGGCCTTTCCAGTTTCGCTGGACGATAGGACTAGTCTGAGGGCACCCCTAGGGGTTCGGATCTCGGCTCAGGCCGTCGAAATTCGATCCCTGTTAGAATTGGACGGGGGATCGATCGGAGGGAGTCCTCCAGCGCCCTGGTGTATACCGTTAGCGCAGACCGGTGCACTAATACCGTATCAGCCATTAAAAATAATATAGTTAGACGATGATCCAGCGGTGCATAAGCAGGTTATATAAAACTACTATCAGTTTAGAACAATATAATAACCCATATACAGATCGCACCTGCACAGACATCCATCGGATGCTCTTAACCGGTTTAAGTGACCTCTATACTTGTACGTCTTAATATAGCAATGTGTTTCGGACCATAATCACTCATACATTAGTAACAAAGCCTAAAGTCTTACATTACTAAATATTATTTACCAGGGTAACATTAAATAATAATAATACACTGGACAATCTACACAGTGCCATCCTGGCTCAAGTTAGCAGAACATGTGTTATGTCTACTAGGCAACTAATGTAGTGGTTTCCGTAATGCTGTTTATGTACACAGACGACTGTTATTATTTACCATGAGGTGAGTCTCCAGTCACTTACAAAACAGTCCTCTGGATACAGAGAAACTAAAAGATATAAAAGTGTACTCACGACTCGCAATCAGCTCTGGGGCGACGAGCCCGTTCAAATCGGGCTCTTCGCCGTACCAGAAGATCCAGAGTTCTTTGGCGGCTCGGAGGGAGAGGGGCGGCGGCGCGGGCGCGGTCATCTCGTAGATGTCTGGCGGCTGCGGCGCAGGCACCCGCCGCCAGACGCACAAGATGTCGCCGGCGAGGCAGCGTGCGTAACTGCTTATCACAGGGTCGGCGAGGGGAGTCGCACCTTCCTCACCCTCGCCGCCGCCTCTAGTCTCTCCCCACACGAGTTTACGCCATTTTATGCCATATAGTTCGGTCTGTAACAACAAGAGAGTTGATGATCAGTACAAAGACATTAAATTTTAATTAGAAATGTATAAATGTTCATGTAGATTCAAAATACAATTATTTATTTAATTATTGCTTTACAAGTGCTTGTATCATACATAAATACAACTTACACGTGTATCCCGCATAGCAATGTAAACGTTTGAGATAGATGTACAGAAATCAGTATTGTATCTACCAGATATTATTTAATACTGTACGCTTACATATGGAGTACTGATTTCAACAATTTAACGAATTTACAAAATCATAATCACACCCTATTTGATGGGTGTGATTATGATTTTGTGAAAAATATGATTTTTCATAATCACACCCATCAAATATTCATGATAATACATAAGACATACAGTCAACATGACTTCTTGGCGGTAGAAAGCAGCGGGATCTCATTACAGTTACTCAACTACCATAAGTTATCGGTCTATTTCTAATATAAATAAATTATTTCTTTTTTTTATGTTCACACCTCTCATCAATACATACCTACGTTCCTAAATAACTTATAGACACATACTGTTCTATTATCAACTTGTAAAATAATTCGGTAAGTATTTTAGAAAATATACATCGTAATGATAAATCATAATGCGCAAGAACACAACAGTTGAAGAGAAACTTGTTGTAATAAGGATGGGTAGAGAATATGAAGAGACCTCGAATTTGTGCTAAAACTGGACTTGGCAGCCTGCCAGCAGAGGTACAAAGGTGGTGCAGGGATCAACGAATATACCTTCGCGGAAGAGACCGCGGCCGCTGCGCTTTGTCTGCGAATTGTATAGTGCGAAATGATTGGGAAGGTAACAAAAAACATTTACAGGCATAAATGGCCTCAAGTGGCCTATTTGAATCAACAATGGTGACGTTCACGTTTCTTGTTAGTGCTTCTATTTTAAGATACCATGTCTAATTAGTCACTGTTGTAAAAAGGAATGAACTGCCACATCTATTTATCTCTCCATTACTAACATCAGAAGTCGCTATGCTATTAAAATCAAACGTAATGATTACGCTGAATACCCAATTAGGTATAATACTAACATACTTCCACTTCATTACGTGATTTTATAGTAGATAATCCATACAAATATTACATTGTTTTGATTTGTACACTTAAAAATTTTGACCAAATTTAAAATTTCTTTAACCCATAGAAAGTTATATATTATGAAGAAACAGCTTGTATTCCAAGCGAGTCAGCAAGACAATATAATATGTAAACACAATTTCTACTATAAAGTATACTAGAAATTGTACTCTGTTTAATCTATAGCGAGTTCGTATCTACGGGTGATCGCTTAAAATAGATGTTCGATCTTTAGGTTAAAACCCACACAGACACGAGTTGCTACAGTGGTTGCAAGGTCATAGGGCTTATTTGCAGTGCTGCAATACACTATACTCATTTCATTTTTATTTTTAATAGTCAGCTATTATACGGTGAAAATAGTTGTCTTAAAAGAAGACTGAATAATTAATGCAAAATGATTGAATCTCAACGGGCAGTCACGACCAGTAACTACTAATTACTCGAATATACAACAATCACGTATCTTACTAACTATTGGAACTCTGATATAAAACAATGAATTAATCTTATTTTCTCAAAGACATTAGCTAACAAGTAAAAAAAAAATCAGCAACAAATCGGTCGAAGTTTAGATGCTTCATCCACTTTCATAACTGATCTCATGCAGACACCCAGTTAACGGAGACTTACAAAGTAATTCAGAGTAGGTTTACGTAAGTTGCAACAGTTTTGAAAGTGTGGCGCTAAAATACGAGGAACAAAATCAAGACAAAATGTATACAGGTCCAAAAGTGGTAGTCAGGGTTGCCAACCACCTAATTTTCGTACATTGATTCTCCAACCTTGTACCATCGTGCATTGATTGAGAATTTTTCTAATGAAGAATAAGTTCAATAATTTCCACATTTTTATAAGTATACACAAATATTAGCATTATTTTGTTCATCTAGAGATTTCCCGATTGACAATATTTTGGATGTACTTGAAAATCTGGCACTTCTAAATTTACGTAGATCACATGCACAATTGTATAAGAATGATGATATCTTGGCGCGTCTTACAGAATACAAAAAACCTTTTACATACGAGGACCCTGGTACGGATAGCAACCCTGTTAGTGGGCGGGCAGCTACTTCAAATAGAACTAATAAAAGTTCAATGTACTTCATTCCGCAAGGCTACCATGTGCGACGCGCAACGAAGGGGCGTACGTCCACACCTGGCAGACGTTCGGGGGTCGGGTCGCATCGACCTACCAACCAAGGGGACGGCGGCTCATATAAACTGTGTTGGTATCTTAGTAGTTTTACTTACAGATTTGTAGCCATTAAGACGGCAACGAAATTAAAACTTAAACGATAAAAATTTACTTAATTCCTATATAAATATACTTTAATTATATACGAATAAAGTCAATTTTAGTTCAAAGCCTATTTCAAATTTTTACCTAGGCTAGACCTCGGAAATGAAGTAGTCTAAAATATGTTTGGTGACATTGCATATAATTTACTTTTGAATTAAACAAGTGTTATTGGTTTAAATATATAAAACGATGGCTCTTATGTCTACAATAACACGTATAGTTTAAAAATGTTTACTTAAATTGCCCACGTCATAAAGCGATCCCAAACGAACAAGTTTCCGCCGAAATACTAATAAACTACGACATGGTAAATATAACTTTTAACAAACTCTTTCTATTAGATGGTGAGTATAATAATTTACTTTCCTTTTTAAACAAATCACCAGTATGTTCTCCATTGGTGGTGGATGTAAAAGAATGCGCCATGTTTGGTGCCGTGAATGTGAGTTCGGTAGACGGGCCTTGCCGCTTTCTATCGCGCCCGATGCGCCCGCGCACGCCTGCTTCACTTTCTATTGTATGACGTGATGGATTGCCATTTTTTACTATAACGCATCATTTTAGTGTGATAATATTGTAAAATGTGAATGTAATATGGACTCTATTCTCCGCATTTAGCCTCACATCTGGACCGTTGTACGTGTAGTGTGATAATATTATAGGAACAATTATTTGTGTCAGTCCAGTCCAGTAACTAGTGGCTTATTTCCGATTCACCCTGGTGCTCATAAGTTTATGGGTGTTGTACATATTAACATAATATATAATCTAAGTCTCTTTGGAATAATAAACCTTGCGAACGGAGAATAAAAATTTAAAAGCGCTCATGGTTTTTTTTTAACTTTTCCTTTATAAAAAAATCTTTCCTCTTTGTAATATTAGTATAGGCTAAGATTTAAGATAAGAAAATACGTTACATGTACACAAGAAAAATACAGACTAATTGCAAACATAGGTACTCCTTTTGGAAATAGGTTGAAAATTGATAAACATTTTATCAAAACAATAGGTTGGCCAGTTAATATTAGTCCGTAATCCAGATGTGTTAAAGATGTAAATCGACATAAAAGCTGCAACATTAACCACGACGCACACACTAGCTATCTCACTAGATAAAAACTAAGCAAACACATTTTCCGGAAAGCCTGGTAATAAGTTTGTACGTAAAAATTCAAAGGCCATTTGAATTTAAAATGCAAAACGAGCCGGCGAGCGTACTCGGCGATAACACCCGGATGAATCCGGGAGAAAGCCGCGCCTTTTCCGGAATAATCGGCCCGTAACCGGTTCTAAAGAGGAGTTACGTCACTTAACACGGGCTATTGAAAAGCTGGTCGTCAATTGAGGTCAAAGTTTGCAATATAATGGCTTGCAGTTTTTTTTATTATAATTTAATTCTGTCATCACGGTAGATATTAATTAGGTCATTATTAGGCAAGCAGATAACATCACAAAAACATACACAACAATCTGTTCAAAACAGTATATATATTTATTTTGGTACAAATAGTCATTACAATTATAATTACAAGTACACATAGTAGATAGACAACGAGTACCGAAAAATATTTAGTAGTGTTGACATAATGAGCCTAGAAATATTGTACAACTAAAGCTATCATGATTTTCAATCAACTTTTTAAATTCGTTTATATGATTTGGCACCTGATCAGATATGTCGACCTGTCGAATAGAGACCGCGCCTTGTGTCCACACACACAACTTTGCGTACAACCACCACCCACCCAGTTTCAGCGCCTGTATCACACTTTTACTTGATATTATACTAGCATCAGATCTCAATCATAACATTCATAACGTACGTATTTTAACATTACATTTTGATAAGAAAAGACTGTATTACTAAAAATTGTAAAATCATCATCATCATGCGGATAAAGCTGTGGCTTAAAAACTAGTTTCAATATAAAAGAGTCAATACAAAATAATGCAATATGTGTATTCTAATTCAATAAAGCCTACGAGAACACATTCAATGTATCAAATTGACATAATTAAAATTTACAAATATGACTTGTAATTTTGGGACTGTATTATCAATATTTTTTAAATGAGAAACTTAAATTTCATTGCAATCAAGGCAATTGCAATTTTTTGTCACAAAAATAGTCACAAAAGCCAACAATAATGCGCAAGCGCATCCCTGCGTTGATGTCTTTTCAACCGTTCTACAAGGCCCGTCTCGCAACTAAGCACAACAAGCTCTGAACAGAGCGCCAAACTAATTCTATTAATCCAACTTGGCAATAGAAACAAAAACGCATAAACTTCCGTATCATAAACGCAATTACAGTTGCCCGTAAACAATAATAACCCCGTAAAGTGATCATAACCGCAAACGGAAAAAACTGCATGTCCAAAAAAGTCGAGCACCGCTAGTCGAGAGGAGAACCGAGACGGGTATATTGAGGCGGAGCGGGACGGCGAGTCGCGAAAGTGAGAGGAGGCGAGCGCGGAGCGGCAACGTCGCTCGTTACGTTACTAGCGGGGTAAACAATCGAGGTAAAGATGTGACGGTGGGCTGCGCGTGCGACCGCCCCCGGCGCACTGGCCCT